ACTTGCTAGTACAGTTGAAAAGACCATTCAAGCAATTGAATCAATTGACACCGCCTAATTGTTGGAACATTATCAAGGAGATCCCAAACTTGGATGATGATGATCATTTCAAGATCCTTGATTTACTTTTTACAAAAGCAAAAAAGTCCGAGTTCTTAAGCATGACACTCGAAGAACGTTTTAAATGGATAACATTTAAATTAAATTGAGCTTTGTTTTTTGGATATGATTGGTAGTAATTTTTGAAATTTTTGAATTGTTTTTTGTTTGATTTATTGGTTATATTTTTTGATATTTTACTAATTTGATAATAATTGATTCATTTTACGTGACATTATCGTTATCTTTGTCTATATATTAAATTTTTGTTCCTTCTATGTTTAGGTACTTCCATATATATAATGTCTAATGTAAACATACATGAAGATCATGAAAAAGAAGTGGATGAGATTGAAGAAGATGACTACAAGGAAGCATTATATGAAACGAGATGGTATTTATGGATGACAATTCAAGCAATTCTCTACGTGATAAATGATCTTGTAAATAATATGCGTTGTGCACATATTACACGCTCACTAACTAGGCGATCAAAAATTAGATATGGATATGACTATATACATAAAATATTAAGGGAGGATCCAGAAAACTTTCGACAAGTTTATAGAATGTATCCGGATATATTTCTAAAATGAAGCAATATCATTAGAGAAAAACACCCTTACAGGATACTAGGTATATTTATGTTGAAAAAATGCTTGCAACGTTCCTACTTATTGTTGGTCAAAATACTATATATTGCTTGATTCGTCAAAAATTTGGTCGATCACATTTCACTACTAGCCGAAGTTTCAACAAGATTTTACAAACATTAAACAAATTTGCGGTAGATATGATGGTCAAATCGGGATTCGTTGTGACAAAAAAAAAAGGAAAAGTACAAGATTTTACCCTTACTTTAAAGTAAGTGATGAAATAAGATTTATTATAATTTTTGTTTTATGTTTTCATTAGTGTTCTCGTGAATTCTTTGTGTTGTTTTATTATTTTTAGGATTGTATTGAAACTATTGATGGTACCCATATTCCAGCAATGGTAACTGGACATGATACAAGCAGTTATAGAAATCGTCATGGAACAACTTCTCATAATGTTTTGGTTGCTTGTAACTTTGATTTGGAATTTATATATGTGACTAGTGCTTGGCAGGGATCAGCACATGACTCTAAAGTGTTGAGTGATGCTTTAACAAGGAGAAATGGACTTAAAGTGCTACAAAGTATGACTTTATTATTTCATTTTTTATTTTATATTCAGGTAAACATTTTTTGGGAGACTGTGTATTTCCAAATAGACGTCAATTTTTAACTCCTTTTCGCGTTTCCGTTATCATCTTCAAGATTTTGCTGGTCAAGGTCGTGACCCTGAAATACAAAAGAGTTGTTTAATCTTCGTCATGCTTCCTTGAGGAACGTAGTTGAGAGGATATTTGGTATATTTAACTCCTTTTCGCATTTTCGTTATCATCTTCAAGATTTTGCTGGTAAAGGTCGTGACCCTGAAATACAAAAGAATTGTTTAATCTTCGTCATGCTTCCTTGAGGAACGTAGTTGAGAGGATATTTGGTATATTTAAATCAAGATTCACAATTTTCAAAATAGCTCATCTATTTCCATATCGTACACAAGCCGAACTCGTATTAGCTTGTGTAGGATTACACAATTTTCTCCGGAAAGAATGTTGGTCTAATGAATTTCCAATCGAACCTGATAACGAAAATTCTTCATCTTTTTCGATTAATGAGGGGGAAGACTTTGGACCATTTTTTGAGAGTCAAGAACAAAAAATAGAGAATGCTAATGCATGGAGGGCTTTTCTAGCAGCGAACATGTGGAATGATGTTGGAAATGTTTGATTTATTATTATTATTATTATTATTATTATTATTATTATTATTATTTTGTTGATCATTACTAAAATACTATTTTTTAAATATTTTTATTATTTGTTAATCTACTTGATATAAGATGAAAAAGTACTTTATGTTTAGCGAAATATTTTTTTTTTTGTTTTTTTTGGGAAAAAAATTGACACGAAAAATAAGATTTATTACTTTACATTTTCAATTATATGAGTTGTGGACGATTTGAATATATAAGAAGTTGTTAAACATATTACATTATATATGTTTAATATATTCTTTTAAAAAAAAATAAAAGTCTTCAAAAGTCTTCACAAATTCAGGAAAAACTTTTATTAATTTCTATTAAATTCATAGAAATCACTTAAAATTCCAGAAAGTGCACAAAAGTCACCCACTTTAAAAAATCTCCAAAAATCTTTAAAAGTTCCAATTGAATACACCCCCTTAATTTCAAAAGACATGGCAAGTGTGGGTATAATTATCCATATTGGAAATTGTTAGGTAATTCATTTTCTTGCATGGATCAACCAGTGTCATTTTCAATATTAGAAAATTGATAAATTGCAATAAACACTAGGTATAATTACACTCAATACACTGTAAATAATTTAATTCCCAAATTACTATTATTTCTTTTAAATTCTCAATTTATTGTTTTTTCAAACTCATATTGGTTCCAGCTTTCTTCCTCACGGTCATCGCCCACTACACGGAAAATTCATCCCCATCCGGCGACACCACCGACAACTTTGACGGTCATCTCCTAAGATTGCCCACTACTTCTTTCACGGACATCAAATGGCTGTGATTTTATCATTTTCAGGGACTTTTTAATTGTTGTTAGAGATGCAAGGACTAAGATTGCAATTTTGATCACTCTTTATCTAGGAGCCGCCAACTGTGTATGGATATGATTTTGAATAGTGCTAAGTATACATCTTTGTGTACACTTCATTGAAAATGATGTAAAAAAGATACACATGTAGCATGATTGTACGATTCTTGCTTTATATGATATAAAATATTATATTGAAATTTCTCAATAATCCGATAAAAAGTAACATTATTTGCAATCGTTCACTGCTGTAATCGCCTTGTGTGGCATACATGTGATGATTAGTAATTTGATGCATTAATGTGATAATTTTTTATTACTTTATGTATCTAATCATTAATCACCACGTGTATGCCACGTAAAGTGGCTACGGTAGTGAACGATTACAATAACATTATTTTTTGAGAAATTGTGAATCACCACCGAATTCATTAATTTTCATCAATTTGGTAAATTTATCACTATTCAATTGAACCAATAATCATTGATCAGCATATTCTCGTTATTCTTTTAGAATCTACAATTTTCGATATTGTGTCCGTCTCGCATTCAAGCCTGCAATACATCTCAGCATCATTGAATGGTATTAATGTACAAGCGTTATGCAGTCACATTTAGACACGTTTGACGTTCATTTTCTAAAATCAATTTTTTCTTAAAATTCATTTTAATCACATATTTTATAAAATTCACAAGTTTTATCAATTTTTCAATCACATTTTATTAATTTTTAGCTAAACCAAACATGAACTAGTATCACTTACCAAACTTTCCCGTAGATGTCATTATCTAATATATATTAGCCCCGTAGTGAATAATACATGATCAAGTCAATTTATTTAATATAAATAATACAGAGGGATAAGTGTTAGGTGGGTGGCGAGGGAAGAGGATGAAGTAAAAGACAAAGAATGGCCCACATTGCAGCAATAAGTCTTCTTGGGCTCATAGGCTGTCAAGCTTTCACCAAACAAATTGTACCATATACAGTCCATCGACACATCAGCAGCCTACGAAAAACTAACTTCTTCATCTGGCCCATGATTTTCATCTATATTCTAATGCCGCGTATTGGTGGCAAACTAAACGGCCATATTTTGCTTTGTCTTGTTCGAATCTTTTCAACTAGTCTTTAAGGCTCCGATGTATATACACGTACATTTACTATATACATGTACTCGAAAACGGGAATGAATTTTCACTATCCTATGTGCAGCGGTCATCTTTGATCACATGCAATAATAGAATGCATATACGTAGCGCTCTACCACAAGCAAAGCATTCATATAATGGAGACGACTACAAGTTTTCTAATGCCTCTTATCATCAACGTGATAAGAGGGGATAATCGTACATAATAATGACGCTCTATGCACAAAACCTCAGCAACGGATTCAGTTTGCCTGCAGAATGATCAGATATTTTCAAGCATAAAATAAGGACTTTTTTTTCCTGATATCAACTATATAAAGCTACTAGGATAATTGTTTGTGTTGTTATCTTATGTAACCAGTAAAGCAGATATGTACCTGTTAATCATTCCAACGATGCACTCAAGATGTAGCCAAACTTTCATTTTAGAGCTTCACGATCTTCTTGATGTTTTAACGAGTTGAACCTGCTTATAGAATTTTTGTTGGACTGATAAATGGCATAAACTGTGTAGGTCGAAACGTTATAACAAACACTGTAGGATAATTTATTGCTTTAAATCACTAGATCTTTCATGTTAAATCATCAAGAAATACATAAATTATGGCCGAAGCGTACCTGAATCAAATATGGTTAATACAATAATAAATTTTGCGGTATAGTATTCCAAATCTACACGTAACTTCCTTTTTCTCTCTGTGATGAGATGCAAAAGAGAATGAATAATATATACATGTGATTTGGAGACCATAACCGTATTTATATAGTGACGCCTTTTGACCTTAATTAGGCCCATCATAGAATTAAGACTTGGGCTCGGTCTCTACACATATAGAACTCACACTTTAATTGGATGCATAACGGCCCAAAATCGAAGCCTTATTAGATCACTTTAATTGAGTTCAACCGAATTCGATAGCCTTTAATTTAACACACAACAATTTACACATATAAACCACACGATCGTTTAAAAATCCCTTACAAACACTGCATATTTTTTGACAAGTGATAGCAGCAGGAATTGAAGGAAAAAAAAAAAAAACATATTTCTGCCTAGGACAAGACTTGTCTATGCGTCAATACTTCACTTCCATCAATCCCAACAAGAAGGGGGTTCATAAAATTAGGGGAAATGAAAAGAACTATAAAAGGCCTCTGGATAACTTGTTATACAAAGATTTCATATTCATCAGCCTCCAGGATCAAAACTCCTTTGAATCTACCAAGTTTTCAGCAATTTAAACAGAAAAAGTAACACTACATAAAACTCATCTGCTCAACCTTTGATGGTTGGCCTTCAACAAACTGCAAGTTTTTGTTGTCGTTGAGTCGGCCACAATCGTCAAACATTTTGAAAGTCAGTTAGCAAGGAAAATTGAGATATTTGGCTCAAACCTTCAATGCGAAACTGACACTTTCCAGGTGATGAAAGACTCAGCCAAGTATAGGTTGTCTATCATGATAAATGTGGAGAATATTACAATTCAGATTTCAGGTGACATGTGGAGGATGACGGAGCTGTTAAAGAACTCGGATACAGCACACTTGACTGCTCTGGAGTACAATTCCAGTTAACAGGACTGGCTTTTATTCCCTTAGGGTGTGGCACCTGAAAACTTGCATTAAGAACCATTGGTGATGCACTACAGATAGAATACCCCCGTGATTGATCACTATACAAAGGGTTCACGTCTTGAGTCATAGCCTACGTTCATTGATGCTGAAATTCCAACTGTTGATTCCCTACCCTTCATATTTTCTTGACATGTGTAGTTATAATGTCTGAATCAGAGTTGCTAATAGGCATACTAATATTATAGCCAGATGGAATTCGAACTTTATCAGTATCAGATGTTATCGGAACACCCAGTCTGTTCTTGGATCCTTGTTGTTCAGTGGACAAGTTGCCGATTCCTATGTATTCATGGCACTCCGAGGAGGATCTGAAACTCCCACCAAAACTTTTACATGGAAATTGGACTTGTGGTGGATGAGGGGACAACTGTGGTGTACTAACACTACTATGAATTTTGAAACCACTTGATGATCCAACATCAAAGTGTCGTGACAAGGTATGATTTTGAGCATAGTCAAAGAGGAGGGGATCTTTTGGAACCACATGATGAAAGGAATGATCCTCCTTTTGAAACTTTTCAGGAGAGACGCCATTATCAGCACAAAACTGCTGCTTTGCATGGTCATTTGTGATACTTGACTGGGCCGTAACATCTTCGTCTTTCTTTACCACCATTAAGTTTTTCCCCATCAGTCTGAGAATAGGATTAGAAGTAGCTGGAGTAGCAGATTCAAAATCACCATGACTAGAGAACTTAACCTCAGAATCAATCAAAACTCTCTTAGGAATATACCCTGTTGGTGACTTTGCAACACTTGCTTCAGCTATTGGACTCAACTCTCTCATATAGATCATTTCTGACCTGAAGTTAGAACTGTCAAATTTTCTCTTCGGATCAGCAGTCATCTGATTTTTATCGGCAGGAAGTGAGAGTGACGCCAGAGTCCGTTGCCAAAGTTCCGAGTCTTGATAATTCAAAGCAACAACTTGTGAGGTTCCTTCCTTCCTAGAGCAACAACATGGCTGACCAGTCTTGAATTTGAGAGAACCCATTTCAGGAAACATCGAGTCAACCTTGGAGACATCCAGGTTGAGGTTTCCTTCTCCTGCACTTGCTGTAGGCTCAACAGGGGTGGACATTCCCACAATAGGTTCGATGCTAGCTCCTGAGAAGCCACATTTAATCTCGTTTCCTTCTAGAGATCTAGCAGGCAATTTTTCCAAGGATATGGAATCAGATTTTGCATCAACGGAATTAGAGATTGTTGATGTAGCAGAAGTAGGAGAATATGAACAACCCCTATCAACTAATTCACAATCATCTTCCGGAGATTGAACCCTGCAGGTTGTTAATGATGAATTTCCTTGTAGATCTTCAGAGCCCATACGCCCAGGACTTGGCAAAAAGGATCCTGGTGGTCCAGGAATAGCTATCGGATCGACACCGACAAAGTATTTTTCTTGCCCTTCATCAATGTCAAATTCTGCCACCATGTGACCATCTGCACAAAACATCTTATGTTCACCATCAAATACTAGCTCAGCCGGATAATATTCCTTGTATGCTTCAATATAGTGTTGCGAGACAAGTTGACCATCAGGGTCAGCATCCTCCAAGACCCTAGGATCCATAGAATTGCTAAGAACCATAGAGAGCTCCCCATTCGCCATTTCTGAAGCTGGTTGGCTGACAACATGCTCCAGAATTGTAACCTCTTTTCCAACAGATTCCACAGCATCATGACCATAAGATTCAGGTGATGGCAGTGAGCTCCTCAAAGCCATGGCTTCCTCTTTCCTGGAGATCATAAATTCCCTTCTCTTCTTTTGGATTTTCAAAGACCTTGTTCTTTCAACATATTTCTTATCAGAAATCTCTTTCATTTGATCTGCACTTTCACTAAGTTTCTCTACCAAATCATGTTGTGGGTCAATTGCAAATTGTGATGCAACTGCCTCTTCATCAGATCCTGACATGTAGCGCAGCTGAAGCTTCTTGATGTCTAGCAATTTTCTTTTCATTTTTGTTTCCGATCCAAAAATGGATGTTCCGCTGACCGACAACATATGCTCCGCCAAAGATGTAAACATTTTACTTCCAGATGGTTTTGGGTTCATAAAAGTACTATAGGCATGTTTGGCTGGACTAATGTCAATGTTCGCCCTCTTTTTACTTCGAGAAGGTGCATGATATTCGATACTATTTGGCAAATCCATATTACAATCAACTGAGAGGCCACCTTTTCTCAACTGTTTCACATTGTCCTTAGATAACGCGAGATAATTCTTCTTATAATGGAAGTCTTTAGGCTCCAATGACGAACAGCTTACCCTCTTTCTCAAAGAACGTTCCCCGTATTCTTCAATAGAATCACAAGATAAATTCTCTTTTCTTTTGCTGCTTTCAGGAGAAAGTTGGTTCTCATCAGGCAAGGCCTGAGAATTCAAAAGACTACTTCGCTTCGTGAATCGATTATCTGTTGATGACTGATGACTTTTGGCTCTCAAGTTCTTTTTGACGCTTTTGTCCGACTGTTGATTTTCATCCTTACCATTTATCTTCTTTGTGAGATCACTGCGCTTGGAGCCTACCCATTGTTTTATTCTTCCCAAATGATTGAATTTTATCAGATCATGTGTTTTGGGTAGCTGTGTCACGCATCCCTCTTTCCCGAAGCAATTTTCAGTGAGAAACTTCCTTTTCCCACCATCATTAATCTGTAAAAAATCCATGGTTAAAGCTTATTTGGCTGAAAATGACAAACATTTCAACATTCGATGCAGAAAGCTGTTTGTAAGTTTTTTAAAGTATACATAAAAANAACATAAAAGAGGTGAAGAACATACATTGGAACTATGATCCGGCCTGCGAAAGAAACTCTTTTGATCATGGGGAACATGTTTCAGTAGCTTATGGTGTTTCTGGACAATATTGTTTTTCTGCTTCTTACTCAAGAGAATTTTACTTCCTTTGTCTCTTTTAACAAGTTTCATAGATTCAAAATCATCATTCGTACTGGAGAATGTCTGCAGATCATTGAACTTCGATAAAATCCTAAGCTTTGTGCCATTGGTGTCAATATAGACTGCACTTTCCTTATTTGTGTCCTCACAATTAACAGGAGACGGTGTTTTGTTCCTCTCTTCTGCACGTGGCTCAATATTTTGAGCTGGAAAGCCCAAATTTAATGCCCAGTTGGTTCCGTTTCTCCTATCAAGCTCCTCAAGTGTACAATATGGAGCTGTCTCATAAATATCCACCATCAATCTTATCTTCCTTGGTTTTATTCTATGCTTAGTAACCTTAGAATTTGATGTCCCCTTAATTGTCGACTCCCCAGAAAGACACTGATCAATATGGGCATTTAAAGTTGTGTTCGAAGAAGATGAAAATTTCTTGCATACTGGGCACACTTTTGAAGCCATAGTTCCTAATGCCACTGAACTGTTCAGGACAGGGTCTTCGTTAGACCTCAGGTCAACAATGTTGCTCAATTTCACAAGTAATCTACACTTCTTAACCGGACTTTGAGTTGAGCTTATGATCTTGTTGGATGCCAAAGCTGTAGACTCAGGCTTCGTCACTACAGATCCTGACAAATTACCAGCTACTATTTCCAAACACGGCTTCTTTATCGCGAGAACTGAATCTATTTCAGAACAAGACAGACTTGCGGTCGTTGATGAAAATTCTTTTTCTTCAGATCCACTTGAATTTATGTTCTCACAATCCACAACTAGCTCATTGTCACCTCCAACATTGCAAGAAGATACAGACACGAGATGATCGCTCGACTGGTTAAGCTTCTCATCATAACTGCTTATATTTTCTTTGTCAATTGAAATTCCTAAAGAACATTTCTCAATTGATGGATTTTTCACGGAATCAAGCGATTGAAAAGGTGGCAATAAATCTTTAACACCATGTTTTAAACAAAGTTTCAAATTTTCCTGAGAAAATGGCCAATTAGTCTGGATATCCTTGCTCCGAGTATTGAAAACATAGTCCCTGCAGCAAAATTCACGAATTATTTAAAAGTTCAACTTGCGAATATTGCAGAAAACTGAAATCTTTCTCTAACGAAACAAAATATGAGGATTAAGAAGAAACAGTAGCTTTAGACAGAAAACTTTCCAACAGATACTAACATCATCAAGAACATACACATGGTGGATAAACCCACCAAGGTTTTTATCGCATAAAATAACCAGAAATACATCATCCAAAAACAGTGGGTCAAAATTGAAACAGTAGCTTTATATAAACAGAAAACCATTTGAAGGCCAAAAACCTGCTAAAAAAAATAGAATCATTATGTATAATCGGGTAAACATGAAAAAATATAAAAAATGAGACAGAAGATGAAATAATCATAAAGTTTGAGATGTAACTGTAGATCTGACCAACCGAGAAAGACTAATATATAACCATGACAAAACAGACAAGAGAAACCCATAATTCAAAGTTTTTTGTTTGTTACCTTAACGAGAATTTGGTGGTGTTGTAATCAAAGCCTGACTTGAGAAGATCTAACTGAAGCTGCTGACTATTATCAGAATCCTTTTCATCCCTAGTATCACTACTACTACTTTTCAGCTGGGAAATTTCACAAGAACATGGTGGACTTGGTGGAGGGCTTTCAATGGATAACATCTGCTGGTACCTTTTTTCTTTTCTTTTGCTGCCCAACAAACAGTCACAAGAAAAAACTAAATATCCATTTCTTCATCTATCCATCAATCTGCAAAGAAGAGACAATATTAACATAAGATCAAGAGTCAAGAAAACGGAAGTGAAGTTCTAGAATCCTTTACAACGTTATTTTATGTGCTTGGAGACGTTAAAAGGAGTTGGAGGAAGCATGATTGAGAAGGAAAGAACAAAAGCTTGATAAAGAGATAAGCCCACAGACAAAGATCAAACCTCATGAAACGTTATTTTATGTGAGCAAATCAAGAAAAAGTACATAGATTCTTGAATATTTTCAAGATGGAAACAACCAAGAAGTTACGCACTTCAAACACCAAGATCAAAGAAGGTAAATCGAGATGATATCACGGCAAGATGAGATGAATCGAAAAGATAAGACAAAGGAAATATTAAAATGAGCTCAAAATTTGAAGTATGGTGAAAGATTTTACATTATAGAGAAAGATCTAAGAGAGACGAAACCCAGGTCCAAAATAAAATCTTAGGTCAGTGACAGTCTGTAAACAGTAGACATGAAAACAGCAAAGTAGTTTAAACGCATAAACAAGATTTGAGGAAAAGACCCAAAAAAAGTCCGTCAAGAAACACGCTAAGGCTCATGAAATCACAAAAAGCCCTCAGTATTTGAACTCTAGTACTTCCAGTAGCTGAAGAAGACAACAAAAAACCAGAAAAAGAAAGTAATAAATTAAAAACTGTAAGAAATTTCAAGAAAACCCCAAGAAATTCTGATTCTCAAAAGCAGAAGATGTTAAAGAAAAGATCCAGAAAGATCAAGGAAATCCCATACCAGTTCTGAAACTTATATTACACGGTGAAAAAATAAGGATAAAATGAGGGCATATAAAAAATAACCAAAAAGATGAGAGCACAAGGAGGAAGAAAGAGAATGTGTGTACATATGTATCTATAAGATATGTATATATGTACGGTAGGAAGAGAAAGCAGCAGCAGCACTAGCACCACCCACTGATACATCAAAAGGGACATCAGGTTCTCCTCCCAACCAAAAAGCAAGTTTGTACCTTTTTAACTCTCCAATATTCACCATCTCCCTCGGTGAATATGCGTGAGAGAGAAAACTCAAATATGAAACTAGAGAGAGAAAGAGGCCTGTCCTATTCTATACCTACCCTACATGGTGGTCATTCTTCGTTATACTTAAATTCAATTCAATTCTTTATCTTGATTTTTTTTCTCCAGCGAATCGTCAGTTTAGGCCCCACTATTTTTGTGAAACTTACGGGAAAACTGTAACGCTCCTTCTCCGTCTCAAGAATACATATTATACATGTGTTGACAATGATAGCTCGGCCGGTCCACTTATTCTAAATTTATTAATTTTAGCTTAATTAACCTCTTTGAGAAAGTTTTAGCCACGTTTGATAACAATTATTCACCCCAAAAAATTGATTTTTTTACCTTTATTTCAATATTTTCAGCCGTCATTTTTGACTTCGTGACTCACAAGTAAAATCCGCTTTTCTCTTTAATGATTAAAAAATTAATTCTTATAATCACTATCAAACATGCCCTTAAACTTTGAATTAGTTTTTTAGACTTTAGTAGATTATAGAATTATTTTACAATTAGGGACCAAGAATTTTAACATTTAGTCCATGTTTGGTTTTAATTCTTTTCTTATTAAAATGAAAAATATGACCGTTATCCATCACATCAAGTCACCAAATTTGAATTTTTATATCTTGTGTGGGGCTCATAACGATTATATTTTTCATTCTCATTCTTCCAAAAATGAAAAACAAATGGAGCTTAGATAAATGTTGAATTTTTACAACTAGATAAGTGTTTAATTTTCTTTTCACGTGGTATTATTTATGTATTTAACATTTATTCATAAAAGCTTAAAAGCCGTAAAATAAAAAAAATAAGTTACAAAAAACAACCTCAAAGTATTTTAGTATGAGAAGTACTTATAAGCTTGAATCCATCTTTTGTAACTTCACTATAATAATAATACTTGTATAAATTAGGATTTCTTTATGAAACGTGCGGGACCCTACTAACAATAAAGTTAATTGAAGAATGACCAATTAAGTAAAAGAAAGGGACAAAAAATTGCCCTATCATCACACATTTTCAAAACATCGCCCTCAATAATTCATTTTTTTTTTTTGTTATTTGCCCACCTTTAATTTAATAGTATTATTTATATTAGATCATTTGATACGTTATGTCCTTAAATAAAAATCATGATGCCATCGAAAAAAAAAAAGTTAGTTAAAAAAAATTAACATCGAGAGATAATAATTTTTACTCAATTGATTTGAATTCAAATCAGTTCGTAATTGAAGCTCGACAAACGTAAAAGGCATAGCTCATTTTCTAATATTAAAATCTAGAATAATGTTATTTGCAGTCGCTCATTGCGACAGTTGTCCTACATGACATACACATGACAGGTGGTTATTTGATGCATTAATGAATAAAACAAACTACCACATTAATGTATCAAATAATCATCAGCCATGTGTATGTCACGTAGGGCGACTACCGCAGTGAGCGACTACGAATAGCATTACTCTAAAATCTATCTCAAAATTGTAATAAATAAAAAGACATCATAAATGTCAATACTAAAAAGTAGTTGGTGATAAACCCTATTCATTTTTTATTTATAAATGTTGAAATGAGATATAATTGAGTCATAATTTTTTTAATCAAATAAAAAAAAATTTCACTATCATTTTTACCCTTCATCTATATGCAAATCATTATATAACTCAATTATATACAAGTAATATTATTCATTCCGAAGAAACCAAGCTGATAGATGAGAGATTTTTATTTCACCACATATATTACGAAATTAAAAAAAAAAAAAACAGATAATACTATATTACATTTTTAATCCAAAAAAATACTATTAGGATTGGTAAATAATTTTTAAAATACTACATTTCAAAATTAGATTTCAAACAATGATGTAACTAACGTTTTTTCAAATCACTTTAACATTCAACTTATCAATTAATTACTCTCCAAAATCAATACAAAATTTATAATTCTTAATAGGCAAAAAGGTACCCAAATTCATCTTTGGCTAAAATCAAGATCTACCATATTTGTTATGTGTCGAAATTGGAGATATTGCTTCACAACTAATATCCAACTTTTTCCAGCTTTTGCTATGTGTTTAGAAAGATGCTTATTACCTCACGGAAGCACATAGTGCTGTTGAGTTTTGGGATCTTGAAAAGCGTTGTTGAATCAATTATAGGGCTCCATTTATTCAAGTTTTCCCTAATCTAAGATGTTTCTTCTGCTATGTTACTTCACAATTCGAAGTGTGAAAACAATTATGAAAGATTATATATTTTTTTGGGGTTTCATTGGTGTCGCCATAAGATGCGATTCTAAACACAAATGACTACATATGTGATGTGTTAATCTTTGCTTTTGGTGGCTGCCTATGAATGACTGCATATGTGAATTTGTGATGTGTTAATCTTTGAAATATATCATTTTAAGGATTCATCAACATACTATACCATAACACACAACACTACAGTTGCATCTGTAGGTGATAAAACTCTTGTCTTTGAATTCTGTGAAGATACAATACCACCTTTTGAAGATGAAAATCCCCATAATTTTCTAGTAAGTCAGCTCACTGCCATGGAGAATATAAATTGGAAAGTGTAGCAAATTTTGGAAGATGCTAGAATCAACCATCGACATAGTAGAAGAAACTAGAAAGCTTGCTATATTAGTTATTCCACCACCATATGAATTGAGTAGAAGAAGAAGGGACTGATGTGCATTCCTATAAATATGGATCAGCACTTATATTTTGTAGTGTATAGAGAAATGGTAGAGTATGAGTGAGAATTAAGAGGAAGTGAGAGCATTGAGTGCTAGATATGGAGTAGCAGTGAACAAGAGAAAAAAATTAGTGGAAAGCATATTTGGTGTGTAACTAAATTGTGTTGTTTATTTTGTTTATAAAATAATATTAATTTTGGGCAGGGCCGGTCCTGAGTCAAGGCAGATGAGGCCTCCGCCTCAGGCCAAAAACTGATGGGGGCCTCATTTCCATGGCCAATTTCATTTTTTTTTTATTCAATTAGATGGAGAAGTAAATTGAATGAAGATGTTGTAGTTGGAGTTGCAGAGAAGACGCCGAGAAGAAGAAGAAGACAGGATGGTTTTTCATCTTTTTTTTTTTTTTTTTTTTTAAATCTTGGGCCTTCTATTGGGATGTTGCTTTTTAAAACTTGAAAAAATGACTAGGCCATCAGTTGAGATTTGAGAAGACATACGCAATGTGCTGTGAGCAGAAACCCTCATCCACGTTGGAAGTTCCACGCCTCCCGGCTTCATCTCCCACTGCCGTGCGAGTTGCTACTGCACCATGGGATTGATTTTTTCACGTGCTTTACTAGCTTAATATTTGAAAATGGTCAATTTGTGATTCGAGTTAGGGATTTTTGGAGAAGGATTTTCGATGGAGGTGATTCGAAAGGAATATGAAGAGGCTCCACTTTTGGGATTTGAAAGTGATCAACTTCAATTAATGGCTTGTTTGGTGGAGTAAATTCGGTTAGCTAAATGATTATCTTATAGGAGTTAAAGTAACTTTTCACATTTCGTTTGTACTATAAATTTTACAGTATTTATGGTATAAAAAAAAGTTAAACAGTATTTTTTGAATATATATTAAATAATAGGTGTGTGGTATTATTTCCACTATTTCAAAGAGAGGATTGTTTTATTTTATTTTATTTTAATTGAAAGTACGAAAAACTAACATATTGAACATGTTTGGAAACAAACTTATAATTTTTTAAGCTCTGCCAATCATCATCGAGTATTTAACTAAGCTTAGAATTTGCTTAAGCTTACTTTCAATAAGGTAGTGTTTGATAACTTCCAATTTCATGAAAAATGGAAAATCATTTCCACCTTTTGCCAAAAATGAGTGTTCGATAGGTAAAAAATTCTAGGGAATTCATTTTCCATGATTCTTGCCACCTAAGTGATTTTTTTCACTTTTCCTTGAATTGAAATTCTCACCAAAATGGTGAGAATTCCAATTCCGGTTTACTGTAGCGGAATTTTTTTTTTTTTTTTTTTTTTTTTTTTTTTTTTTTTTTTTTTTTTTTTTTTTTAAAAAATTTTTTTTTATTTTTTTTTTTTTTTTTTTTTTTTAAATTTTAATTTTTGTTTAAATTTTCAAAAACAAACACGAAAAAATACTTTTATTTCAACATTTTTCACTTGAAAAATTATAACAATCGAACACAATAATTTACAATTCCTAGGAAAATAATTTCTAGACAATTCAATTTCCTGGAATTCATTTTTAATTCAATTCGGTTACATCTTTGCAATCAAACAGATCCAACTTTTGTTTTCTCACGTGTTTAGATAGATTACTTATTTATTGTTTATAGGTAAAAATATTACTTGTTGTGACGTGAATACAAGATTTTACTTCTAAATAGCTAGCTTATTTTTATTTTTAACTTCGACTAATTATTTAAATCCTACTCGTTGAACTTAGTATTTGTACATTTCATCTCCAACCTTATTGAGATAATTGATCTCTAACCTTTGGGAAATTAGAATAGTTATCCTTTTCCATCAATTTTGATTGTTGAGGTAACATAAAATGGCATATTTTCCATCTTTAAATAAACAAAAGGGTAAATATGCACACACCATAATTTTTTATAAATGCAACACATTTTAATTGTAATTATATTAAATGTCTCTAATATTTATTTATTATTGTCATACTATCTCCAACTTTTTAATTTCTTATCCCATTATCTTAAATAGCACAAACCATCCTCGGTTTCAACTTTTTATTGCATGCTTTAAAATAAAGGACATATTTGTTGGAAAATTTTACCGATAATTGTACA